CATTGATTTACTTTGTTTCTGGTTTTTCTATCTGTTTTTTTTTCTTGTCTGTAAGCGATTGAAGTAAGACTACTACAAGAAGTATTGTAATGGTAATGATGCGCTACGTGCTGTGTATCCTCGCTCTCCTGCTCTCATGTGCGTGTGTGCACGTCCTCGCTGAAGAAGTGCCTGCCGCCGATCTTTCCGACCAAGTCCCTGATACGGAGAGTGAGACAAAGATTACTTGTCCTGAAGGTGGTGCTGAAGGTCCTGTACTTCCTGAAGGTACTACTGAATGTCCTCATAAAAAGCCCGAGGTTCCTCCTCCAAAAGTACCTGAAGTACCAAAAGAAGTGGTTCCTGAGAAAAAAGTACCGCTTGTTCCTCCCAAAAAACCTGAAGTTCCTCCTGTTACTGTACCTGAGGCTCCAAAAGAAGTGGTTCCTGAGAAAAAAGTACCTGTTATTGATGATGGCAATTGCCCTGAAGGTACTCCACGTCGTGAAGATAAGAAATGTCCTCAAAAGAAAGAAGTTCTTCTTGAAAAAGTACGTGAAGATGAAGGTCAACGTGGAGATAATGGTGTTTCTGGTCCTCGTGACGGAACTGCTGAAACGGGTGACGCAGGTGTTCATGGTCAAGTGGGTGGGACCGGCTCTTCCGGTTCTTCTGCTGGTGCTTCTGGTAATGATGTTATTCCAGCACCTACTGAACCTACTGGACCTAGGGCAGATCCCACTGAAGCTGATCCTGCGGGTGAAGTGCAAACTGAAGGTGACGGCAACAATACAGGAGGTGAAACTGCTGATATCCAAGGAAATGGAGCACCACAAACTTCTTCTTCTCCCAACAATACAACAACGGGGAGTGCCGGAACTGCTGATACTGAAACTACCCGTACAGAGAACGGAACTCTATCTTCGGACAGTAAATCATCAAATACCCAAGAAGGTGTTGAAGGAAATACACATACAACCACCACAACGACAACACTTCCTCCTGAACTCACAAACAACAAGAAGGGTGATGCAGACAGCAGCAGCAGTATCAGCAGTTCTGTGTGGGTGCGTGT